TGCACTGTCCTGCCATTCAGTTTTTCAACAAAGTTAAAAAAATCAAAAAAAAAAAATCCAAATTGTTCATCAAAATACCCCCAAAGAAAATTTTCACTGTCCAATATCAACTGAAATCACTTTTTTCTAATTCTAGAATTTTCTCCCTTCTCCTTTTTAATCTGCTTCAACTTCTGAGATGAGCTACCCAAAGAGAAGTCTTTTTCAATCCTTTCAAACATTGCTGGAGTTCCATCTCTTGCAATGATGGCCTCCAACTGCTTACCTCTAAAGTATGAATCATATTGACCTCCCATTTGTAGTTGTTCAAGGGGTGTGGGACCTTTTGTCATATGAGGTTATGGGGTTGCACAAAACTCTTGTGTCAGTTGTGACACGAAGCCTTCATCATCCTAGTTAGTTTTCTCTACAAATGGAGCAGGTGGTGCCATGCTTGGTCCTTCTTTCTGTTGAAGAAAAGCAACAATCATAGTACCAGTTTTTGACAATGAAAATCAATGAATTACACAGAAAATTAACAATGTAAGTAATACCTGTTTCTCCATGGTGGAGGTGGAGCCTTGTTTCTGTTCAAGAAACAATAAGTAGTTCATCATAAACATTTGTTAATAATGTAATTAAATTAAAATAAAGGTAAAAAAGAATAAAGTCCCACCTGCTTATCAATGCTTAAACCTTGTTTGTGCTTTTTCCTTCCCTTTTTTTGGCCTCTTTTGCAGCAGCCTTAGCTTCTTTGGCTTGTCTTGCAGCATTAGCCCTCTTAATTTTCAACTGCAAAAGTAAAAGTATGAAGACACAAATAAGTAAACAACAACACTGAAAAGTAAGATACCTATTATATATAAAAGTTATGATTTTGCTTACAATTGACCGACTTGCTTTAGCCAGTGGGCTCTGAGAGTCCTTCTTGGCATGAACAAGTGTTTTCTTGCCACAAGATCTAGCATTGTGACCCATATTGCCACATTTTCCACATTTCAAACTTGTCTGCTGCCTCTTCATCTTCATTTGAATCTTTGCCTTCTTTTTCTATCTTTTATCTCCTTTCTCATCAGGACCAATCCTTCTTGCTTTCTTAAGCTTACCTGCACCTCTCCCAAATGTGGGAGGCAAAGGTGGAATGAATGGGTTTGGTTCCACAACATCTGACAGTTAATCCCTAAGATGGTTGGTTTGTAAACTCTTTTATATGTTTCCACAGTGTAGTACTCATTCACATAATCAACTGCATTGCCCTTCTGAGCTACAATTGCACTACAGGCATGCTTGCATGGTATCCCACTCAGGTCCCACAACCTACAGCTGCAAGTTCCTTTTCCAAGCCTACCACATACTGACCTCCACCATAACACTCTACTTGATAGTGAGTGTTGTCACTTTTCATAGGCATGCAGTCACCTAACTTTTCCATATTAGCCTCCGTTGTCTTAATGATCTTTGGACATACATTGCCTTTCCACCTAAACTCTGTCCTATCCCTGTTTCTTTGAAACCTTTTCACTAAGTACATTCTAATCCATTCAAGCATAGTGTAATACCCCACTAGCTTATTAAAATCAGAGTCAAATTTTCACAAGTTCTTTTCCAAAAATACGTATTAGTTTGCGAAATCGTGATTCAGGATGCTACTGATAAACCTTTCTTTTCTGAAAATCCGTTATCTTTTCTAACATAAACTAATTAAGAAAAATGGATTATTTCTAGTCAAACAGGCATGTAAAACTGTATAAAATCTAACTGAAAATTTAGACCAAGACCTGAAAATCAACACGCGAGTTCAAAAACTTGAAAATGTCAGCGGAAGTTCAACCATGGCAAAACAAATATATACATGTCCAAAAGTCCATAAAACAGACATAAACAAAACCACGACCACCAGCTCAGCTCACTCCTCGGGACCGACCCTGTAACCTGAAAAACATAATATAGTGGGGGCGTGAGCACTAAAAGCCACTGTGCTCCGCAGAAACACATGCTGAAGTAAAACAGTAATAATAATTGCAATATCATGATCAATAGTATATATATAACTGAATCTGTAATCTGGTGATCAACCATAAATAATCTGCTACGGGATCATAAACTGTATCTGGCGGCTATAATAAACTACGCCGCGCCTATGTGTACACACTCTAGTGGGCAGATTACGCCACTAGAACTTAAGGTGGACTTACGACTTCCTGGACTGGACTCCACCCTAAGCGGACCTGAATATACATACCTTGAACATGATAGCTGTAATTATACTCAATGTAATACTTAGTCTGAGTCCCCACCTGAAATGTTGGTTTGAAAATGTGTAAGTGCTGATGCTGATCTAACTGTAAAATATATAAATAAACAAACACTAAGTACTATGCTCAGACTAACTGAAAATAACTACTAAGATGCTCGACTCGAACTTAAATATTTAACTAGATTTTACTGAAATAATCTCGGGTTCTAACTTGACTGATAAATCTAGACTGAACTGAAATTACTGAG